CCTTGGGCTCTTGGAGCCAACAGTTTCCAGTCCCTTTGCCACTCGCTTCTAAAGAATGTGACCTAGCTGAGTTACACAGGCAGCTGCGCTGGCATAAGGAATTTTAGGTAGACTACTCTTAACCTATGCCTTGGATGCTCAAAATTGTTATTGCCACCTAGTCCACCGCCCCAACTCCTCTACCTACCCACCCCCAACTCCCAGTTCATCAGTTCCCATCACACCCCACCCCCAAGATTCCCTCTCCTGGCCCAAAATCTCCTGAGTCCTGAATGGAAACATCCAAAGTTAGCCACCCCAAATCACCTCCCATAGAGCCCATGTGCCATGCTGAGATGCCAGGAAATGGCTCCCAACTGGCCTCTTATCCCCTGAGAGGGGGCTGGCACCCTGGCCATGGGTACAGAGGCAGGTGCCCAAGAGGGATGGGGCCTGGTAACAGGGTGAAAGTCTAGGAAGCATGGAAGACAAGGCCCCCAAGGTTATCTGGACGCTCAGAGTGCCAGAGGGTCAGTAGAGAAGGCCCAGAGCCCTAGCCGGGGCTTGTCCTCCTGTCCCATGTCTGCCAGGCCCTGCCCTGGACTCCTGTCACCTGCAATGTTTGCTTGCCACCTCCTTCATCTGCAAAATGGGATGGAGACAAATGGTCCAGGAGAGGCCCATAGGCGAACAAGTCCCAGAGTTAGGGAATGGACTCTGAGGACTGCAGCCCAAGGACGTGGATTGCCTTTCAAGCAGGTATAACATCAGGTTAGCCTGGGGGTGGCCTTCAGCTGGGAGGAAAGGCTAGGGCTCTAGCTGTGGCTCAGTCGCTAGCCGACTGCATGTCTGTGGGCATGTCAGTTTCCCTCCTTAGCTAAGCACATACAGAAGCGTGAATGCCTCTTCCAGCTCAACCATCTGTGGAGTGGCAGGGTGGAAACAGAGAGCACCTGCAGAAGGTGTGGGCTGGAGCGAGAGCACAGAGCCAGCCCCTGTGTGCATGCTGGACCCAGCAGGTAGCCCTCTTCTCTCGTAGGGGCCTCAGTTTCCCCTTCAGTTCTCAGCACCAGGGACAGTAGGAGCTGGTTCTGCCCCTATCCCCTATCAGGCAGGCTCACTATGCACTTGAAGTTGCCACCATCTGACCTCCTGCAAACTGGGCCTTCCCTTGACAAGCCAAGCCCAACCTCCCTGCAGCCAGGCCTAGCTCGTATCCTCTGTGTTCTTGGAGGACAGCCCAGTGAGGAAGAGGTGGCTGGCCTGCTGGCCTGGCTGGAATCTTAGGGTCTGTATTTGTCCCGGAAGGAAGAAGGCAGGATCCCGGTGCTTCCTGCCTTGATTTCCATACCTGAGAAGTTGAAGAGCAGCCTTGCTGGAATCCCTCAGAAGGACTAGGGAACTGCAATACGCAGACATTATTGTCAGCCGGAGGAGCAGTGACTTCTGGCTTCAAGCAGGCATTAGCACTACCAAATCAGGATTCCCCTGGAGGGCCCCCGCCACCACCACCTCTCACCCCCTGCACAGAGTCCCTGAGTTAGCAGGGAGCAGACAGAAGGAGATAGACAGCAGGAGAAAAGGAGGAAGCCACTGCTTAAGCATTTCCTGGCTGTTCTGCAAGTTGGAGCTTCTCTTGATTGGCAAGTCTGCTGGGCAAGTGTGTGAGTGAGCATGTATGTGTGTGTGTTTGTGTGTGTGTGTCTGTGTGTGTTAGAGAGATATGCAATGAGACACATGAGTGGAGACCAGGGGGACAAAACCAGAGTGGGCCTAGGACAGTGGAGCCCCTAGCCCTGGGGGTGGCCTTCGCTTGGGAACTTCTCAGAGCTGAGTCAGCAACCCATAAATAGGTTCCAGCAGGCAACCTGACTCCTTCACTGTGAAGTGACGTGAGGGCAAGCGCCACTCGGCTGTCTCCTGTTCCTTCTTCTAAGCGCAGAGCAGGCCAAACAGACATAATGCTAACCACATAATGCTAGGAAATTGGCGGGGCGGGGGCGGGAAGTGGTGGGCAAGAAGGATGGCCCGTCTGCCCCCACCCCTCAGAGAAGAGGCAGCATCCACACAGTAGTTAGCGTGAGAGTCTCAGGGCTGTTTTCATCTCAGCAGTAACTCCTCCCCAGAAGTAAGCATGCTGCCCTGCATGGCCGAGCGTGCATCATCCCAGGACTCCGGGAAGACAATGAGATGAAACTTCTGTCCACCAGGCCAGAGGGACCAAGACATTCTGATCCTTGGGAAGAAAGAGCATTGAGGTCCTCAGATGACAGGGACCTGGCAGTGTCAGTGACACTGTCTGATTGGATCCTGGACGACACCTCTGAAAACAAAAACCAACACTCCTGGGGTGTTCTGGGGAGAACACCTGTTTATTGTAGCCTGTAGATCCCAGCCACACACAGGCTGCCGAGGAGGCTCCGACCACTGCCAAGTGCGGACCATCCAGCAGTAGGTCACAGACAATCCTTGCAGCTTCCCGCCCCTCCCTGCCACCACCGCTTCCACTCAGAAAGTGCATAAGCAGTTGGGTTTTCCCTTCCAAGTGCACAAAGAGCAATATAGAACATTTCATTGCTTGCCTTTGGTGAATCAACGCAAAACCTTGCAAAGTGACCACACCCTCCCCCCACAAAGGTCTCTTTTGGGGTGGGTGTCGTGACATGTTTCATATTTGTATATATAATATATCTAGATTTATATAGAGAGACTATGTACAAATGCATTAGCAAGATTCAGAAAAGGAAGACATCAGCAAGAGGCACAGCGAGAGACAGGGGCTGCCTATCCTTAAGACACAAGCAGAAAGGAAAATGTCTCCATTCTGCACCCGTTCCAACTGCACCAAGCCATTCATATGGCCTGAGATGATCTTTATGGGCCTGGCCAGTGTGTTCAGCTGTACACTTGCTTAACCTGACCTTGGAGACATTTGCCAGTCCGGTCTCCCCAAGGAGACACACAGACAGAAAGTCTGGACACGCTCAGACTTTGCTTTGTGTTACTGGAAATAAACATGGCGAAGTCCTAGTTAGGGTCCTGATAACTATTGCCAAAGCCAGTTCCAAGGCACCTCGAGGCATTTCGGTCCTGAAAGAATGTGCTTCGTTATTAGAAGCTAAACCCATGGGTTAGCCAGCCTGTCTATCTTTACAGTGGCCCTTCATTAGGAAGGAGAGATAGATGTGGGGAACCTAGGAGCCCCAGGAGAGGCAGGGGTGAGGAAGGAGAGCCAGCAACCTGGAGCCCCACACCATAGGGGTCAGCATGCAGCCAGAGGTGGGGTTAAGGGCCAGGATAGCAGAAAGAGGCACAGCTTGCTGGCTGGGAGATGCAGGAGAGCAGGGGAGTGAGAGGACCGTGGGGGTAGTGTCCCACCGTGTCCCACCTTCCACACACAGAAGCCCAACACTGGGCCCTAGCTGGGGAGGCAGCCGCACATGACCTCTGCAGGAGGGTCTGAGAGAAGGACGTGCATAGCAGGCGAGCACCTGGGGCAGCGATGGGTCCTGACATACCCCATTAGCTCAGGGGGCCCCAGAGATCCATAGGTTCACCCGTTGCTTTCTCTGGGCCCCCCTTGGATAGAGCGGAAAAGGAAAAGGTCCCAGAAAGTCCTGGATTTCTTGACAGAGAGTTGGGATGTCAAAAGGAATCTTAGGAAATCTTGCAAATAATGCCTCTAAAATGTGTGAGTCCTGGAAATGGAAAATTCCCAGCATCAATGCAGTCTTTCACTCACCCTAGGATGGGGGGAGGGCACTTAGGAAGTGGCCAAGCAGTGGACCCTGAAAACTAGAGAAAGGTATCCCATCAACCGGGCCCTCGGCCAGCCTGAGGCACCCACCGCCCACTTCCCTGCTCCCAGCTGGTTGGCTCCAAGAATGGGCAGTGTCCACCTGCTCGGGTCAGCCTGGCGGCTCTGCCCACCCCTGTTGGCAGTGTGTTGTTGGCAGTTAGGTACTGAGCCCATGACCTGGGCTAGCCTCATCCCACAGCGATCTGGCTAGTTGCCCAGCTCCCACTCGTGAGATGCCACTCTTCCTGGCCTCTGCCCGAGTCCTGGCAGTCTCTTCCTTCTCCTCTGTCTGTCCTGCCTCCTCAGGGCCGAGGGTCTTGAATCCCTTCTTTCTCCCCTGGCCCTAGCCCTAGAGCTGTGGCTGCAGAGATAGAAGTAGATGCACCAAAAGGGGGATGTTGGTCCCTACCTGCTGTCCTGGCAGTCCCCGACTCATGTATGGCTTTGAATGCATCCCTGGCACCTGGCACAGGGTCTGGCACACAGCAGGTGTTCCATCAATGGTTGTTGGGGTAGGAGTGAGTTAAGCTCAAGCTCTCCTATGTTATTGCTCGCTCACTCTCTCTTTCTCTTTCTCTCCAAACTGGCCAGCTGATGGCAGAGGCAGGGTTTTGTCCCTGAGACTGTCACACACCTGACTCCATCGCCTGTCCCTAGACTCATTGCCAGCCCAGACACCTAGCTTCTCCAACCCAGAATAGGGGTGCTGAGTGCCTGGGAGGAGGACCAGGGTCGGGTAAGCTGCCTATGCCCCAAGCCCCAGCTTCACCTCACCACCCTCATCCATCAGGTTGCTCCCCCTGGAGAAATCTGTGGCTCTGTTGAGGCCAATTGGAGGCCAAGGAGCCCGAGAGTCGGGTGGGGCCCCAGGCTGGTGTCCACTGGAGCCTCAGTCTCCCCATCCGCAGTAGGGGTGACTCAGCCAGGGGGCTGAGCTCTGAGCATCTTCTAGCACTGTACTCTCTGAGTCAGCAGTTTCCACTTCCATCGCTCTCTCTGAGGCTGGAACATGTGAGTAAATGGCAGTGAAGGTTGGCTCCCTGTAGACACAAGAGGAACAATGGGGACAGAGGTGCAGGTGACATGGACTGGGGATTGGACAGGGTGGCACTGGGCCTCCTGGCACTTCCCTCTGGCTCTTGTGGGTTCTGACTCACCTAGACCCTCCTGAAGACAGCCAGGAAAGTGCAGCCAAGAAACAGCCCCCCCACCCTCCCACCCATCCTCCGACCTTGACCCCAGCCTTCCGGGGCTCAGGGGTGTAGCCCTCACATGGAGCTGCTTTGCCCTATCTGACTTTGCCAGCACGCCCAGAGAACCAGGCAGCAGCAGGATAGTGTAGTGGCAACTGGCAATGGAAGGGACAAGGGCCACACAGAGGTCCCTGGACCAGGGTTCATGTCCATGCCACGCCAAGGCCTTTTGCCTGGCTCACCCACCTACTCCCACCCCGCCCCAGTTTGTCTTCTGGACACTCCTACGGTGCAGGTTGCAGCCCCTTCTGTTGCTGTCCCAGGCCCACACTCCCAGATGCCATCGCAGGTCTCCCAGATGGAAGAGAGGCAGTCACTCCTGGTGCAGGGCAGGGGTAAGAAGTGAGGAGTTCCAGAAAGACCCCAGCATGGGTGAGGAGGAGGTCCTAGTTCAAGAGAAACACAACCAGAGAGAGCAGGGAGGGTGACACGGGACCAGGTAGGGAGTGGCAGGAGTCAGGGCCCGGGGAGGGAATGCAGGCCAGCCGCCTGCTACTTGGCGCCCTCGTCCGCGTTGCCCTCGCCATCCGTCTTGCCCTCCTCCTCTGTCTTCAGGTCGTCCGTGCTCAGCTTCTGCTCTTTTTTCCTCCTCACACACTTGACCACCATCAGCACCAAGATGACCACGGCCAGGAAGCCCCCCACAGAGGCGCCCACGATCACTGCCACTGTGGAGTCCCGCTCGGGGGGCTCTAGGGGAGGACATGAAGCAGGACTCGCTGAGCACCAGGGCCGGAAGCAGCAGCTCCTCCACTGCCCTGCTCCCCAACACTCTCCCAAAACAGTAAGCACAGAGGGGCCTGATGCTCCACCTCTCCATAAACAGCACTGCTGCCGGCCCATGCAGTGCCGCCTCCCCATGCACCCCCACTCCAAATCTTGAATGTGGTAGAGGATGTTGGGGCCATGGACTTGGAAATCCAGCAGATGGGAAGCCAAATCCCCACTGGAGTTTTAAGTGTCACCGATTTAGGTGTCCCCGCCTCCGTAGTGACCCACCTCCCCAGTCACTCTGCCTGTCTGGTAGCCCCTCCCCTCCTAAGGTTGCCTGTTGCAGATGCAACAAGAGAACTATACAGGGCATCAGGCTTGACGTTTAAGCGCCTAATGAACAAAAACTGCCATCATTAGATCAGTATGAGCACAAGGGCACTCAGAGGCAGGGAGGCATGTTACAGGGAAGAGAATGGAGACTTTCGGCCCAGCAGAAGCTGCCCATCTCCCTACACTTCCCATGGCACACACATCCTCCCACCCCGCAGCCTCACCTTCTGTGAGGACCCGGAGGCTGATCTTGCCGTGGCCACGGTGGCGGTCTGGCGGGTTCATCACATAGCAGTTGTAGGTGCCTTGGTCATCCAGCTGCACATTCTTGAGCGTCACTGACACATCGTACTTGCTGGGGTTGCCTGAGAACTCCACACGGTCCTGGAAGCGCTCTAGCTTCAGGTTGATGATCTTCATGCGGAACTGGAGGAACTGGGTGGGGAGAGGGGGATACTGACGGTGGTGGGTCAGGAGCCACAAGGAGAGTAGGGCCGTACCCTCTGCCCACTCACCCTTTCCCCCCCAGGAAGGCTGTGCCACACACCTGGCAGCCAAGTCCCCTGGAGAAACAGCATCCATCACACCCAGGGCCGTAGGGGTGCTGTCCAGGATAGAGGCAGCTAGCAGGCCAGGTGGGCTCGATGCTGGAGTTTCCCACCTCCTCCCCACCCTGCTACATCCCTGGCAGGACTCACCATCTCCTCGGAGCAGTTACTGCAGCTCTGGTAGGTCCAGTTCAGAGAGAACTGCTTGTGGTTCACCATGTAGCAGGAGTTAAAGGTGCAGGAGAGGCGGGCATCAGAGCCATTGAGGACACTGAGGATTGTGGGGACCGATACCTCCATGCTCTGCCCCGGGGGCACTGCGGAAAAAATCATATGTTGCTCAGGGCCCAGAGAGGGAAAGGAGGGACAAGCCCCAGCCCACTGTCTTTCTCATGGGGTGGGAGAAAACACAGCACATAAGGGTAGCAGATGTGATGTTGGTGTAACTGGTGGGGAAGAGGGAAGAAGCAGGTTGGGATGGAAAGGAGATGGAGCCAGGGACAATTGATGACCCTACGCCTCTTCCCTGACCACTCCATATTTACCACTTCTTTGCTGTGTTATCCCTTCTATGGCTGCAGCTTCAGGTGCCCCTGAAGCAGGCAGACCGAGGGCAGAGGGAGATAGCCAAGGCCTTGCCCTCCCCATCTCAGGCCAGAACAAAGTAGCAGGGGGAGGTCAGCCCAGCTCCTCATTCATCTTGTCTGGACCCTGATAGCAGCAGAGAGGACAGACAGTGGGATGAGGGACCAGCTGAGGGACCTGCTCCCAGAGTTTGGGTTGGAGAAGTCAGGCCTGAAATCAGGAGCACATCCAGGCAGTTAGAGGGAGTGGAGAAAAACTCAAGGTAGGAATCCAGGGGCTGCAGGGTCCTAGGAGGTGGCAGACTTGGGCCAGGAGACCCAGGTGCTGGGCTGAGGGAGGCTCATGAGCAGAGTGGAGTCTGCAGTGAGTGGTGGTTAGGGGAGCAGAGCCGCCATGCTCAGAGTTACATGAGCACTTCCTGGTGCTGCCTCCCCTAGCCTTTCACCCCCCCACACTCTCTTTAAAGACCCCCTTGTCTCAAGGAGAAGCCGCACCATGCAGTGGTGAGCGTTCACTCACTCACTTTGCAGAGAAGTTAAGGCCCCAGGGCCAGGAGTGGGCGAGTAGGTGACACTGCCTCTGAACAGGTCAGGCAGGCTCCCTGCGCTGGGAGCTCATATTCTGGTGAGGGAACAGGGGGTGATCAGGAAAACAGATGTCGTGTGTGGCAAGAGCCCTGAGAAGTAAAGCAAGGTCAGGGGATGCTGGCAGTCAGGGCATGCACCTGTTACAGAGACCCCATTTTCAGTGAGTCTACATCAAGGCCTGGATGCACTTGGCACATCTGCAGTGAAGGAGCAGAAGGTTCTCTCTGGGCCAGCAGTGAAGCCTGGGGTCCTATAGCAAGGCCGAGGGAGGAGGGGACACAAAGGGCTGGTGACCAGGGTCTGCGGGCATGCCTGGAGGGACAGGGTCCACCCCGGGTTCTCCCACAGGCACCACAGGCAGTCTCGGATTGGGAGTGCCGCCTGAGGCTGTCAACAAGCACAGATGCTGCTGAAGCGGAAGAGCTCAAGCTTGGGGTCTGATGAAGGAGACCAACAGCGCCTCAACAGGCTGGGAGAGCCTGGGCGTCCATCTTTCCCTCTCCAGGTCACAGAGGGGGCCAAGTGCTTTGCAAACTTTGCCAAGCTCTGCCTCACAAACAGCGAGGGCTTCCTGGGGTGTCTCTCTGGCCCTCCCAGCTGCACCCTTGGGATGCCCATGGACTCCACAGAGGTGTCTCCTTTCTACTGTTTTGTAGTAAGAAGCCGCTGCCCCCGACCCCACCCTGCCCCCAAGCCGCAGTCCCGCAGCAGCTAGCAAGGACATAAAGAGATGGAGGTTTGCCTAGAGCATGCTTCTGGCTCGATCCCTCTCCTGCTGAGTGGCCTGTGAGGAAGGGGAGGGGAGGAGAGGACAGGTGTGGGACTTCAGAACCGGGCTAGCTCAGAACTGCTGGCCCAGAGCCCCAGATTGGCGCAGTCTCAGCTGCGGGGCATGAGTGCCAGGTGTGTCTCCCCAGTGGCCACCGGGGAGGCTGGGCCAGCCCCCACCTGCTCTTGAAGATTCGTGCCCAGCACCAGACAAGCAAGGGGGTGCCCCAATGGAGTGCCAGCATCACCCCCACCCTGCGGGGGCGGAGAACTCTGAGGCAAAGGAGCTGAGGGAGCCTGTCCCCAGCTTACCCCATGTCCCCACCAGGCCTGTCTAGATACCCTTTCCTGGCCATTTTCCAGAGCCCCTGACATGGAATATTTTGGGATACCTGCAGACCACCAACGTAGAGCCTGCTGTCTTGCCCCCAGCGTCAGGAAGCACTCAGGATTAGAACTCGAACCCCTCCCATCCTGAAGGAACCAGGCTCCACCCACCCCCCCTGCCGTGGGAGGGTGGAGTAATGAGGAATGGAGGGGCAGAAAGGCGCACTGCAGGCAACCCGGCCTCCCCTCCAGTGGCAGGCCCCTGTGCGAGCAACGGGCAGAACCGGGTGCCCTCCAGTGGTCACAGAGCTCAATGACCCAGTCCCATCCTCAAAGAGAAGGGGCAGGAGGGGCGGTGTTCCCCACAGCCAGGGTAAGCCAAAGCCGGGAGATCTTTCAGCAGGTGTCCCATTCAGCCCCCATCATTTTACCAGTGAGGCCACAAGACAGCCACACGGAGCGTAAGAGCCAAACGAGACTGCACACATATGCCAAGGCTCCCACTTCATTCCATAACCTCTGTAAAATCTAGGAAGCTCTGGGTCTTCCTGCTAGCTGGGGACGTCCTTTGAAACAAGAAGCCACCACTCACGGTCAGAATATAAATAAGACCCTGGCCTCACGAACTCTGCTGCTTCAGGAACTCCCAGAACTGCAGGCTACAATGGCGTTCACATGCTGTTGCCAACGTGCTGGGCGCTGGTGAAGTGGCCTATATTCTCCATTTCCTGTCATACTGCTATTACCCCGCTGCCTTCCCCGTGAGGCCACGCAGTACCAGAGTCATGCTGAGCAGCCCAAGTTCACAGCTGCCAAGTGCTGAGGCTTGAGTTTGAACCCAGGCTGCTTGGCTCCAGAAGGCTGAAAGCCAGATGGCAATGAGACCTCCACTCCAAGGCTCCCAGGGAACAGTTCTGCTCCCATCTGCAAGGCAGGTGTAGCCCCATCACATCCAGCAGGAAGCCTGGCCTGAAGTCCCGATCTGAGGAATCTCCACCCGGGAGAACCCACCCTGCTTACAGTTGTCCCACTTGGGACCCTGTCTGGTCTCTGGCTCTCTCATCACAGCTCCCAGAAATGATGCGACAGCCAACAGGTGCAGTCAGGATGTGACTTCTGCTCCTGCCTCCTAAACATCACCAGAGCTGAGCCGCCTCCAGGCACATCCGCTCCTCAGGCCCCATCTCTCCCTGGTTCTACCTGGCTCTTTTTGCAAAGGTGCTCATCCACCCAGCACTGCCTCTGGCAAGGACCCCGAATTCATTCTCACCATGTGTACCTCTTTGTAACCCCATGGTAACAACCCGTGAGGTGCGTTTATTTCCACCATGGTTGAAAAGTGACTAATTAGGGTGCCTGGTGCAGGTGAGTGGGAGTCCCCTTTCTGCACGCTCCCCACCCCCAAGCCTCCGGTGGCTCCTGTTACTCTTCAGACCCATTTCCAGCTCCTGGACATGGCTTTTGCCAGCCAAGTCAAGCTACACCCTGGCCTCTTCACCTGCCAGCTGCCATCCTCTTTCATATGACTTGGTAGTACATGACCAGGGCTCCAGGACCTTTTACCAGTTAGCTTTCTGGCACCTCAATTGTCCCCTCTGTAAAATGGGAGCGATATCAGGACCCACTTCATGGGGGCTGTTGTGAGGATGCAACAACTCCCAGCAGGTGTACAACTGGACAGTTAACTACCTCACTATTGTCACCATTCCTGCCGTTGTCACAAAGCACACAGCTGCCGCCATGGTTTGGTTTAGTTTTGCTCTAAGCCTCCCCTGACACAGCCATGAGTGCAGTGGCCAGACAGGCAGCTGCAGCATCAGGGCTCTTGACCATCACTCTAACACAGCCACCTGTTTAGACTGTCCCCACCCACACACCCATGCACATGCTTCTGTGGTTAGCACAGTCAGACACACCGTGTCTCCAAACAACCCCGCAGGCACAGCCCTGACCCTGTCTGCTCTCTTGCCTTCCATGGCATCCCTCCGTGCTAGAGGACCAAGGCCACCACAACCGCTAAACTTCTGTCATTCACATGACCTTCTGCCTTGAAGTACCACTGGCATGCTTCACTACAGCACCGTTCAAGTTCAAGGTCAAGGTCTCCATTTCTGCATTCTTCCCCACTCAGGTTCGTGGAAGATTTAGCTGCCTCACACCCCCACAACACAGCTCTCTTCACCTCTTCTCTTCCTCCATGCTTTTTACCCAGCCCAGGGCTCTGGTCCTGGCCATCCGGCACCCTTCCATGCTTTTCTTTGGCATGACTCTCATGAGGCTGCTTCCTTCCTGCAGGAATCTCTAACTCTCAAGGGAGGTTTTCTCTCCTCCAGCCCAGCCTCTTGATGCACAGGCCACTTGCCCAATTTCCCCTCTGTTGACCTAAACTCCAACCAAGTACTCTCACTGTTGCAGTACCAAATCTTGAACAGTGGGGGCGGAAGAGCACAACGTTTACAAGAACGTGCACCTGTTCAAATCTCAGCTCCCTGGGCATTAGCTGTGCCTTATTGAGCAAGTTACTCAACTGCTCTGTGCCTCTCTGTGTTTCCCGTACCAGGAGTACAAGGACAACGTTCGCCTCCCTCGACTGCTGTGAGGAAGAAGCCAGACGGGCAGTGACCCACCTTGGTGGAGCCCCCTGCTGAACAGATCACAAACATGCTGGGCAGTGGCCCTGTGCTTTTGGTCTCCTATGCTGGGAACTTGGATCAGAAGCTCAGAGGGAGCTAAGTAAAGTGTCTGTCGTCATCAGAGTGATGGCCACAGAGGCTGTAATTCAACTCTTTCCCTGCAAGAGCTTCCTTAACATGCCTGCTTGCTCTTCCCTTGCAATGCTAGTCAATTCAGCAAAGCAAATAAGGCCTTCTCTTGCAGGCAGCCAGGGGCTCTGGGCTGGCTGTTTCTGTTGAGCATGCTTGTCCAGCACCCAGCACATCACACAGCCGAGAGAGAGAGCCTTTACTACGGGCAGTGTGTCCCTGAGCAGCCCATGGACCTGACTAGGTGAACCAACAATGAACAGGTGTAGCAGCAAATGCTTCATTACGCAGGCTTGCAAGGAACTCTCCAGCCCACCAGGAACTCGATGAGTGCTCCAGCAGAAAGTGAGCACTTTAGGACCCCCACGTAGGTTGTGTGTATGGCCAGGCCAGGCAGTTTTAAGACTTGGTTTCCATGGCCCTCAGCCTCACTCAGTCTATGGCCCCTGTCTTTTGTTTTATTTTTGTTTTGTTCTTAAATATTTCACCTGACCCTTCTTCCATCCCATCCGGCCCACAACAGAGATGCCTTCCTGTCTGCTTTTTCTACTTCTACAGATCTCCTAACCTAGAGCCCATCCTTGGGACCAACCTCCCACCTACACACACACACACACACACACATATATTTTAACAAATCAGGGGGACAGCTTTGCAGGAAGCCAGACCCAGCCTCAATTCTCTGTACCCCTCTCCCCATTCTCCCACACGCACTGTCTCTTGGGACCCTCGTCCACCAGATTCCAATAGTTACAGTTTGCCAAAAAGCTTCTTCTGAAAGCTCATGTCCTAGCCCGGACCCCACACTGCAGCAGCTACCAATATATATATTCGCCCCCTGCCCTGCCCCCACACAAGTCTGCTTAAGGGAAATCCGTAGAAAAATCATCTCGTGCAACCATTTTTAGCTCTGAGCAACATTTGGTTCCCCTGACCCAAGGGGGCTGGGGAGCAGGTGGTCCCAGCATCTTGTGGACTCCATCACTTTTCCCCAGCACCTCCCCCAACCCACCCCAAGGGCACAGAGAGAAGCGTCAGTAAGGTCTCCTTGCCTGCCCCCTGCCCGGTCTGAACCCCGGGGAGCATGCAGATGTGGGTCTAACTTACCCAGAGAAAACAAGAGACCGAGCCCCGTGAGGCTGAAGGCAGGGCGAGGTAGCCACGCATCTCTGGGCATTTTCAGAGTCTGAGATGCTGGTCGGGTGGGCTGTGGGAGAGGGTGATTGGGGGCCAAGGACCACGAGGGGGGGACGGTGAGAGGCTACAAGGAATGTACGGATATACTTCAAAGACATAGACAACATTAAGGAGGCTTTATTTCCATCTCTCTAATATGGCCGGCTTCTATGTTGCTGCTAAAAAGAGAGAGAGGGTGTGTGTAAGGGAGAGAAAAGGGGAAATGGAGTAAATATTATGGTTAGTGGATTTCAAAAGGCAAGTGGGAGGGCATAAAACAGTCTTTCTGAAAAAAGCCAAGTTCCCGGAGCTTTTGTGTTCCCAGAACCAGCACTGCCTCTCTGCTTCACTGGGAAGTATGTTGGATTCTGGAAGCTGCTAGTGGAATCCATTTCTTTCAACTGTAAGGTTGAAGTCATTTAAAAACACCTCACAGTAAAGGCCAAAGGGGAGATAGTTCCCGTGTCACTTGGCAAGGGTTCCAGGACACGAGCTGGGGGGTAAGGGTTACAGGAAATATTGACTTCCTCTTTCTCTCCCATCTCCATGGAAAACAGAACCAGTCCAAGAAGGCTGGTGTGCAAACACCAAAGAGACTTGACCATGCAGAAGAGCAGAAACCTTTGGTAAATCTATCTTCACCCAAAGCAGCCGGAAAAAGAGATTTCTGGGACAATGTGGGAAGATACTGCTCTGGCCTGGGTGTCCAGTTTATTCAGGAATAGCCTTGAAGTTAGCTCTGTGTGGTATATTGAGGGTATGGTCTTGACCATCCTTACACAGGCATGGGGAAATTCTTTTGCTGCCCAAGGCCATCTAAGTATTTATAACATCTGTCACAGAACATACAAAATCATCAGCTTAAGGAGCAGCCTTAAGACTGGAGTCATAGCTTATCAGGCTGAGCCTCCACCTGCAATATCTCATATGGATGTTGGTTCGAATCCCAACTGCTCCACTACCAACCCAGCTCCTGACCAAGGTATCTGGGAAAGCAGCAGAGCATAGGCCAAGTTCTTGGGCTCCTGCATTCACATGGGAGACCTGGAAGAAGCTTTTGGTTCCAAAATTCAAACCAGCCCAGCATCAGCCATGGAGGCTGTTTAGAGAGTGAACCAGCAGATGGGAAGATCTTTCTGCGTGTGTGTGTGTCCTTCTCTCTATAAGTATACCTTTCAAATAAAAAAATGTTTACAAAATAACCTGTTGCCAACTTCCTTTTTGGAGTGTTGATAGGTGAGGTGGTAAATTTGGATTTGCTCTTAAATGCTCCAGGGATGGGGGAGGGGAGGGGAGCGAAGCAGGTAACCCAAGACTGGTTGTTGTTTTTCTCTGTTGAAGGTAACTGATGGGGGGCAGACAGGGGTCTCCTGGAGCTCCCTCTTGCTCTGTGCGCACTGGTGATGCTCCTTTGTGTAAGGAGGACAGAAAGGCTATAGTCACAAGGAGGAGGACTTAGGGGAAGAGCAGCAAGGTGACCTTAAGCAGAGAAGGTGACCCCTGTCTCTCCGGGAGATGACCAGGATGGAGCCTAGCATGGGGAAGGGCCTGTGTGCACTAAGGAGGCGCCCTAGCCAACCACATTGCCTGAGAAGTCGACATGTCTTTTTCTTTTTTTTTTTTTTAAGATTTATTTATTTATTTATTTGAAAGGCAAAGTTACACACAAAGAGAGAGAAATCTTTCATCTGGGTCTTCACTCCCTAAATGACCAGAATGGCTGTGGCTAGGTGAGGCCAGAAACTCCACCCAAGGCTCCCATGTGAGTGCAATAACCCAGGCAGGTGTGCCATCTTCTGCTGCCTTTCCCAGACATGTTAGTAAGGAGCTGGGTCATAAGCAGAGCAGCCAGGACAGGAACCCGCACTATGATATGCCTGCGTTGCAGGTGGTAGCTTAACCCACAGCACTACAATGCTTGCTTCTTGGTTGCATCTGCACCCTGGTACAGACGATTGCCTTTAGCCTCTTTGTTCTTCATCTTTTTGAAGAAGTCGTATTCCTTTTATTTGAAAAGCAGAGTTAGGGGAGAGACAGATCTTCCATCGTCTGGATCACTCCCCAAACACTCACAAAGGCTAAGGCTAAGCCAAGCTGAAGCCAGGAGTCAGGAGCTTCTTCCAAGTCTCCCACATGGGTGCAGGGCCCAAGCACTTGGGCCATCCATCACTCCTTTCCCAGACCATAAGTAGAAAGCAAGTTTGGAAGTGGAGTAGCCAAGACTTGAACCTTCGCCCAAATCTGGTGCCAACGCTACAAGTGGTAGCTTAATCTGATATGCCTATGCCACAATGCCAGCCCTTCTTATTCTTCTTGGTATTGCAAATGAGGAAGCCAGGGCTTAGCTCAGGCAGAGCTAAATCCAGACTCAGAATGAAGTCCTGTGGAAGCTGGGGCTTTCCAGCCTCCCACGTTGTGTGTCACCAAGGGAGGGGAACATGAAACTAACTCCAGGATTGTGTAGGGAGGGTGACATACAGGATGATCCTAAGGGGCAGGTGCAGGGGGGCCTGACTTAGAGCAGCGGCCCACAGATGTCAATGAACCACAACCAGGAACAAGCCTAGATGCTGTGGGCAGTGGGGAATAGACATAGGGATGCAGGTGACAGCTGGCTGAGGCCTCTGTGAAGACCAGAGCCAAGGCAGGGCTGCCCGAGGCGGCCGGCTCCACACTGACTTGGGCTCAGATGCCATTGCTAGCGCCTGTCACTTGCCCAGGGTCTGGCCTGGGCCAGCTTTCTTCCTAGTGTACAGTCCACAGGCAGGAATCTCAGGCGCAGAGAGTAGGGGCAGCCTGTATGCATAGAGTCCAGAGAGGCTGGGCCCCAGCCCTGCCTCCCCTGGGGCCTCCTCCCTGTCAGTAGCTCACAGGTGTACCCAGAGAGACAGCTGACAGCAGTGGGGCTGGGTCCCTGGCTCCAGCTCCTTGATCTGTCAGATCCCTGCCAAGGCCTCTGTCTGCAGCACCAGGCTCTGCCAGCAGACATTTGTCAGCCCCGCCCAGCCTTGCTGCCAGAGATTTTTAGTTTGACATAGCCGGCCTCTTCCTTTTTCTGAACACAAGGAAGGATGCTGTGAGAGAACCAGAAACTGAAGTTCAGCTGCTTATCTGCCTCCTGTGAGCCCGGAAGCTTCTATTTGGAAAGCACCTGAGGCAAGAAAGGGATCCAGAAGTTCTGCTTCTATCCAGAATTAAGCTGTGAAGAGTGGGGGGTACCTAAAGCTTGGGACTGCCTTTGAGAGCAGGGAAGTCCTGGCAGGTAGGGAAGGAGAGAGGGCAGGGGGACCTAGTAGGTGAGGGGAGGGGTGATGGAGGTTAGGGCAGTCATGAGGGATGCCCAGAACTGTCACAAAGTGCCCTGGGCCTCCAAGAAAGTAAACATTCATGGGCCCTGCATGACAGCCTAGTGGCTAAATCCTCACCTTGCATTCACCGGGATCCCTTACAGGTGCTGGTTCGTATCCAGGCTGCGCCATTCCCATCCAGCTCCCTGCTTGTGGCCTAAGAAAGCAGTGAAAGTTGGCCCAAAGCCTTGGGACCCTGCACCTGCGTGGGAGACCTGGAAGAGGCTCCTGGCTTCTAGCTTTGCATCAACTCAGCTCCGGCCATTGCAGCCGCTTGGGAAGTGAACCAGTGGATGGAAGATCTTTCTCTGGGTCTCTTCTTCTCTCTGTAAATTTGCCTTTTCAATAAATAAACAAGTAAATAAAAATACACATTTCTTGGGACTGAATAAATGCTTGGGGAGCAGAAACTCAAATCTGTGCTACCCAGGATCGGAGGCCCCAGGATCTTACAGGCTGTCTGGGAGGAAGCCCTGTGGTTTTGGCATTTCTTCCCGGCATCATTGATCACAGAGATTTGACTCAACATCATTTAATTAACTGCCCTGCTGAGAGAAGCAGTGTCACAAACAATTCAAAGAAAGCTGTAGTTCACTTTTGCCTTCAAATCTTACTTCCCAAAGTATGTTTCCCACCTCACCGCACCCACTCCCCCAGGCCAGCATCATCAGTGTCACCTCGGATGCTCATTGGATGGAGTCACTGGCTGGCTCCACCCTAGACCCAAGGCATCCAGAGCTAAATTCCACCAACCCTCCAAGGTTTACTTAACTTTTTAATTTCTTTCTTTTCTTTTTTTCCTTTTTTTTTTTTTTTTTGAAAGGCAGAGTGACAGAGAGAGAAAGAGATATTACTTCAGCTGGCTCACTTCCAGGCTGAACCAGGCTGAAGCCACGAGCCAGGAATCCCACCCACATTTCCCACAATGGATGTGACAGGGGCTCAAGCACTTGGGCTATCTTCCACTGCTCTCCCAGGTACATTAGCAGGGAGCTGGATTGGAAGTGGAGCAGCTGGGACTCAGTTGAATTGGTTGAGTCTGTCTCCATTTTTAATCACATTTCCAGAGGGTTCTTGAGCATGTTTAAGTGTGAGAAACACTGCCTGCAACACACATTAAGTTCGCACCCCATGAGCCAGGGCTGACAAGAACAGTAAAGCAGAAAGGAGCCTCGGGCTGATAGCCTGAGTTCACAGGGCACGCAGCTGTTTAACAGCTGCCAGGGGGAGATCCATCTCCCTCACCTGCCGTCTCCCTTCTCGGCCCTCAGCCCACCAGGCTGGATCTCTCTGACTCTGCACATCACCTCCTCATCTAGGAATACCCTGTGCCTCTTGCCTGCTTGCCATCTCAGTCTTTCTTCCTAAATCTGTCCAGAATCACCTACACCTCAGCTTCTACTCTTCTCTGTGTTCTTACACAGTCCAATACATTCACCCATGGATCCATCCACTCTCGTTCCACAAACTCAAATACAGCTTCTGTCCCTCACCTGCAGGGGATCTGCTGTGAGTCCCAAGAGCATGCAGGTAGTGTGGATAATGCTGAACACTGTGAGAGCGAAAACTTCACCAGTCTGTGTGTGATAACCAAGCTGGCCACCCGCTAAACACAGGGGCAGCGCAGACAGCATGGTTGGACTGAGCAAAGGGATGATCCTTGCCCAGGTCTCATCACACTGTTCCAAAATAGGATGCCGTTGAAAATGCAAGAATTATTGTTTCTGGAATTTTCCATTGAACAGTTTCTGAATGTGGCTGACAAGCAGTAACTGAAACTAGGTTTTACCAGAAAAGCTTTGTAGGGTTCTTTCCTCAGCTTAATATAGAAATAAAAAGCCAGGAACCAGTTGCAGACAAAGAAGTTTTATTTGTGAAGTGACCAGGTGAACATGGCAAAAAGAGGGAAGGGAAAAACACCTCTTAGGAGAGATCCAGAAGATGGGGTACCTCTTGAAAGGAGAGAAGGGGAAACTGAACTGCTGATCTCAGAACCCCAACCATGAAGAGAAGTGCAGGTTCCATGGTCTGACCATGGAGTGCAAGTGTCAGAGCTGAGCCTCCTCAAAGGCTCAGACGGGGCACTGGACAGCACATCCAGGTGCACATGAAGGATACGGCGGTCCATCGGAACCTGCAGAGGACACCTGGTACCACAATAGAGGACAAAACAAATCAATCAACTACCCCAGCCATGTGTTGACAGTGAAAACCAGGCAAACAGCAACTCTAAAGTGGACTGTGTCAATCAGTGGATTCTGGAGAGATTTCACTATGCTTGGAATGGTGAGATTGGCAGTAATTCAGAACCACTAAAATCTCAAAACTACTTGAGCAGGACCCTTGGAGCATACCTCACGTCAGGGACCCTGGAATGGGTGGGAAGCTGGGTGGGGCTTTTCCCTTTATCTTCCCCCTTACTCCAGATACAGGAAAAAAAAGAGCGAGAGAGAATGTGGAAACAATGGTCTTATCCACTTTCCTGTAGCCCTTGACCCTTTGTGCCTTAATCAACTATGTAAAGATTATCAAAATAAAATAATAATTTTAGAAACAAAAAAAGGAGAGCGGGAGAGACTCCAACGGTTTGAAGAAGGGTTTTGGGATTCTAAGTGTTCCCTGACTCCTCCTTGTTGGGCAGGAACCTATAGGTTAAAGGTTCCCCATTGGTGGTCTCTTAACCAGTTAGGAAATGGCTGGACGATTCTTGTACCACCCACTTGAAGGTGTGGCCAAGGTTTCAGTGGGCTTGAACGGTCTCACTATGGAAAGTGAAACCACACAAAAGTGTGATGCTGGTATCTACCCAATGGCCCTTACTTT